TCCCTTCGTTCTACTCTAAGTGACTTTGGATAAAAGCGTCAAATGAATCAGATTTGGAGCTGACAAAGTCCAAAGACATCAGGGCTAGAAAAGATAGTGTACCAGACCAGGCCAAGGTTCACTGTTGACCATGAGTGGAATTTTAAAGGGGTTAATACAGTGTGGAAGCAGATCAGGACACCTGCTGATCCAAGATGGATAACATCTGACCTGAGGCTGCATTGCTCACATACCAACCACATCTGTTTGCCTGACAGGTGGGACCACAGCCAGACTAACAGTTTGCACTTACCTTTGAAGAGGGCTTATTGTTTTACAGAAATACTTTTAAAATCCGTACAAATGGTACGGAATCTTCCTGATTCCTCGCCATCTTCTCGTACGGCCACCCCAAGTGCATGCTGGGACGTAATCGTCTCTCTTGGTGTGATATGGCCGTAGCTGTGTCAGCGATTGGCCACTGGTACTTGGTCTGCGCCTGGCAGCATAATTCAGTCAGCCCCCCCCACCCCCACCCCCACACACACACACACACACACACACCACCTTGCATCAAAACAGCAGCTGAGCGAATAAGTAGTCAAGATGGCTGTCTCCCAGCTGCCTTCTTTTCCTTCCAACACCCCACAGAGTATTAATGCCTCCTGTTGCAGCCCAGAGCAGATTTAGTGAGCGAAATGAGCCCCTTGTTTTGGTTAGGGGGGGTTGGGAGTTGAGAAGGGTACCCCTTGTTCAGATGACAAGGGGGGGTAGGCAGCTGTAGCACCGTTTTTAGACACCAATCAGTTCAGTCCCAGTCACATAGCTGGCGCTGTACGTGTTGGCTGAACACATCACCTAAGATTTTCTATAAAGTACTGTGCTAAAGGGAGCTAGAAGAGCCCATCATTTGCTGGGATTGAACAAGCAACCTTTCATTTACAAGGCTGTGTCTCCAGCAACCACATGACCTGCTGGAGTCTGTCAGAAGATGGGGAGGTTGTAGCATTTAAACATAATTGTTTTGCCATTCTTAAGGATCCCTCTGGTTTTAATGGGGACTACATAAACAACAGACTGCTGTGCATATAAATACTTCCATCCATCCATCATCCAACTACTTATACTGGTCGGGGGGGTGGGTGTTGGATCCTTTCCCAGGCTGGACAGGGGCTGGGGTTGGGGTGGGGGCTGGGATACACCCAGAACATGTAGTACCATCCAACAGTCTTAGGCAGTCAATGTCTAAATTTGCTCGGAACAAAAGCACAATGAAAACTAGCAGGAATATATTCTGTTGTCCCAAAAGATCTTATTGGATGGTTAGATGAACAGCGCTTCAATTCCCAAACCTCTCCTCAGGGGCACCCCAGCCATTCCATGTATTTGTTCAATTTCTCCACCAACTCACTTAATTAATTTACTTATTTAAAGTCAATGACGTATTGCTTAGCTATACGAGGTCAAAAAACACCTTGGCGTATTGGATGGTGGCGGCACTGTACTGTACTGTGGTGACTTCAGGAGAGGGTTTGAAATGGCTAAGCTGACACACTTTGACGGACATGATGTCATAGTCGTACACCAGCGTGGAGATCATTAAAACGTCATTTTCTTTGACCGCCTAAGACTTTTGCATAGTACTGTATGATTAGTATAAATATGTAAAAGGGCTGGCAGAAATGTATTCACTTTTTAAATTAACTGTGCATTTGTGACAGTGGTCATATTCACACAGATACACATTTCTCTGGCGTCTGCTACATGACTGTGATGCAAATGCTGATTGAAGCTCAGGTCTGTGCCCCCCCTCGCCTCCCCTGCATTCCACAGCGTGCTGTCTGCAGTGACCACCATACTCCAGGGACCTCAGACGACGTGGTGAACCAGCAGCTGTCCATACAGCACCCCCCCCCCTTCCAGGGTCCCCTCACACGCCGGGCACAAGCATTTACTTTTGCATTCAGCTCTGAACACTTCTGTAGCACGAGGTTTGCTACTTTTCAGCTTTTTCTGGCCACAACGACTACTTTACAAAAAAAAAGCATTATGTCTGTCATATCAGAATTGCATGCACACTACCGCATACAAGATCAGCTGAAACTCACACATGAACATGAAATTGTTTTTGTCTGTACCTGGGGGACATCCGTCCACACCGTTACTGTATCTGAGCACACCGTCATGGCGGCAGTGCGCATCCTTACCTCCTGCACACAGCCATGCAGCGCAGCCATGCAGCGCAACCATGCAGCGCAACCATGCAGCGCAACCATGCAGCGCAGCCGCGCGGCACAGCCTCGCAGGTGGACCTAGCCGCCTCGTTCACCTTTTACATTTATTACTTTAGTCAGACACAGGTGACACGGGTGCCGAGCTCGTCGGTGACCCAGTATCCACAGGTCCAAACCCAACAACCCGCCTCCGTCCTGCTGATGAGAAGTGTGCTTCTCCTGAGTTGCGTGAACGAGCCGGTACTGCAGCGTGTCGTCTTACCTACGGTGTGGCCCCATTGAATGGAAACGTGTTTCAGTTGTAAATCGCAGTATGGGAATCAGAATTCTGCACGAAAGCCTTAATGGAGCTGTATGTGTTCCCTTCGTTTTTTGTGGTGGATGATTTTTACAATTATATTTGAATTAATTTATTAAATCTCTATTGCAATGGACAGTGTCAAATGTTCTGCACCTCTTGTATAATTTGTATTATGATTTTAAACCTCAAAAAAGGCACCCCCCCCTTTCCCTCTCCCAGCTTAAGTAAATATTTTGTCTTTCATATTCATTTCCACCGAAAGTCCTTTTGAAAAATATATGCTTTCATCGTGTTTCAGGGAGGGCCTTTATAATACAACTTTTTGGTTAAGTCAGTCGTAAAACATCGAAAGGTAAACTTGAAATTCATTAAGAATTCTCAAAATTAGACAAACTTTGAGATCTCAGAAACATTTAGGAAGATCTTGACAGGAAGAGTTTACATACAGAGTTCACAGTTAATCCCATTTCCCTGGGACTCTCCAGATTGTCCTGGCTCCCAGTACCTTTGTGCAGTGGGGAGTCCAGTTCAGAGCAGTCAATCCAGCATGCCTTTGGTACATAGTGCAACCAATTCCCAGTCATACCTTTTCCTATAAATCTGCCTGATTGGTTGTAGAAACATCCGGCTATTTTGTTGAATGTCCTTTGTTACATTACCGTAGATACGGTCTCAACTAAGCTGCACTTTATAACACCCACTATAACATCCGTCACTGTAACCTTTGAGCCCATCCAAGACTAATAGTCCGTTAACCTTTTGAAATGTAATCTGAATACCGATGCTTGTTTGCTGTCGTAAAATCATAAGGAGTGAGGACACGGTTCAATCTTACTTGGAAAACCATCTGAGGAACCCCGGGTCTCTAGGGCTGCCTGGGGGGAGTGAACTCCGGAATGGCAGGAGTAGATGCGGCGTGTCCGAGAACCCCGGCAGTCAGTTCCATGTTCCTGTTGGTTCCGGGGACGGGCTCATGGGCCTGATTTGGGAATTGTGCTGGGGGGGGTATCGCTCACAGGTGATCAGGGGGAGGACCCAGGCACAGGCCAA